TCGAAATATCTCGAAACGCGTAGGACTAATTCCTCATTGGTCGCGTGGAACCGCCAAATTCAAATTCGGCGCACGGAGTGCGCAGTAGGTCTCATTCATTTTTCAAACCATAGACTCATAAAAATCAATTCATAAAAAAACAGAGGCTATATTCCAACACAAATAATAAATAATTAAAACTAAAGAATCAAAAATTCCATTTTTTCACTTTTCAAAGGTTTTCTATTTTTTTTTCAGTGCACCCTTCGGCTACTCAACTCCACCGATCTTCGTCGCTACAAAAAAAGTGTTCAAGTGTTCGATGATCCCGAGTTATTGGTATTAAGTTAATTCCATCTCAAAACTTTGCCGACGCGGTGGGTCCAGGTGAGGCTGTATCCCACCGAAAAAAGTCGTCTAGTCGAGATCAATGTTTGCCGACAAGTCAAAAAACTCTGGCAAATGATAAACATTTTTTCCCCTCCACACCAGCAATTCAACAAAACATTCCCGAAAACTCTTTTGTCTGAATTTTCCTTTGTTCCACAATCCCCTTCAATTCCTCGTCAAAGCATTCACTCGTTTCGCTAATAACATTTTTTTTTTATCCGCCTTTTGATATCTCGAGTACAACCAGACGCATGCGTCATGCGATTATTTGTTTACGTGAGTACAGCTCGACACAATGATGCACCTGAAAAAACATCATTAGTCTCGGTGATGGCCTTCAAAAGTCGATGGAAGCATTTGCGCTTAAAAGATCACGAGAAGAGATTTTTCCGGGATCATAAAATCATGATGATGAATTGAATTGAATAAATAATAAATAATCATTAGAAAATGATGATTGATTAATTTGTAATGATCAGGCATTCGGTGTAAATATCAATTTCCGTGATCCCTTCAAAAGTTAATTACTCGAGACATCGTGAGTACCTCATGTACATGAGCTGAGCTCACAGGATCGTAGGTGATGCGAGGGCTGCACCAGTAGCTCATGAATATTCAGAGGTGTACCCGAAACTACCACCACGATTGTTTCATTTACGGACAGAAGATGTTGGCTCACAATGACTAGGAGTTCCTCTCGAAGTAGACAGTTATGTTTCATTTAAAATCCTCTGCATCAATCCTCTCTCCTCCCATTAATTCCAAAATTCTCAAAAATCAATTTAAAAAATAATCCATCGTAATTGCACTCGTAATTGCATCTCTAATTGTACCGATACTTCATGTCAATTCGTCATCAAAATTTTCGCTGAATTGCATTCCGCGGAACATGTCCTAAAAATCCTGAATCTGGAACCTCGAACCTGGAACCTGGAACCTGGAACCTGGAACCTGGAACCTGATTTACACCCATGTAAATTGAGAATTAATTTTTTTTATCGTTTTGAATAACGAGCATGATGATGCTGAGGCCTAGGGTGAATATTCACTCGAATTGTAGTTATGTGTTGGTTTGAAGGCCGAGTTCCAGTTTCTGATTGTGGGTGGAAGGGGTTGCATGCCACGGACAGGCGAGGCAAAACGTATCCAGGGGGTCAACGACCCCAAATGTGCCAGCGCACTCGATATCCCCAGCATCCCCTCCACCACACCCCCTCACCATATTTACCCCCAGGTTTTCCACCCTCTCTACCCCACAAACTCAAGGTAGCAGCCCGACCTATTTTCCATTCCCGGTTTCTCTCGGGGGTTGGAACACCAACGGGGACAATTCCACTCTGCACTTATTTCTCTCAATTAAAATATTCACTCGTTCACTAATTCATCACCAATTATTTGGTAAAACTATTTTATTTCATGACACGTTTGGAAATATATTTTTTGCCACCGGTTTTTAGAGAATATCTTGGATGTGGAGGGAGATAGCGATTTTTTTATTAATACCTTTTGTGTAGCTCTTGAAATTCTTCGTGAAAAATGTTGATATGAAAATATCGGTATTTCCGGTCGATCTTGAGATATTCGGGAAAAACTTGCCTCGAAAAAAAGGGATTATCGCAATTTAATCGTATCGAATTAAATGATTAACTAATAGACCTACTGCGCACTCTGTGCGCCGAATTTAAATTTGGCGGTTCCAGTTGACCAATGAGGAATTAGTCCAATGCGTTTCGAGATATTTCGACTCGGGCGAACTTCACTTTTGTGTTTCTACTTGGATAATAATGGTACTGCTGCGTATTTGTTCTTTTTCTCTTTTATTTTAATTTCTTTTCGCCTCACTTGAGATAAACCCATTTTATCAAACCCGAATCGGATTTCACAATATATTTGGAAATCCAGAAGACGATAAACCACGAAATAGGGTTTACGATAAAAAATGTAAAGCTCGTGTTGAAGGGAGAGTACGAGGGTAACGAGAAAGCACGCTGGAAGCAATGGAGAACTGGAGTGAGAGGAGTGGAGCTGATTTGCCGAGAGATTCCAGAGATTCCCCGGGAACTATGAGCAAGGTTATGCATACAAACAGAAACTTGCCTCCGATATACGATTGGAGGATGAGAAATATCCTGGACAGGACTTCGCCAAGGTTCCACGTGTAGTTAATGCCTTGACGAAAGTCAACAATCAGGACAGCCCATCAAAAAGGCCATGCCAAGTACTTACTGAGGTACATCGTGAGGATGATGTTTGATCGTTAAAGATTGTTTATCGCTCGTCAACAAAAACTCGCCAACAAATTAATCCCCTGGGTCTCAAATCCCCAATCTCAACAGCTACTCGGCGAGAATAATTCCTCCCAAAAAAAATAACACGAGAGATTATTCCAATTAATTAATTAACTAAATTCTATTCGGTAAGTAACTAAATTTATCAATTCAATGTTTATATTATTGAAATAATATAATATTGCGGAGTGAGTGCAATTAATTAATGAAGGACACATAAATTATCTGGAATTAACGAATTGTTTGTGATTTTTTTAAGGGTCTGGCATTTTCTTGACTAAAGTAAATTGATGGGTGAATGTCAGCTTGTGCTGCGGTGAATTTTCTGCCTAACACCTTGTTGACTTGACGGATGAATTCCACTTAGTGTCAAGGACACATTTTTCTTACTCCAGCCAACCGGTCAAAGTACTCTTGGAGGTGGTGGAGGCCTTGGGGGTTGTGAATATACGACGACAGCTTACGAAAGCCCCAGTGAAATTTTATTTACCCTCATGCCCAGCTGACATGTGGCTCTAAATTAATGATCTGTTTCGTCCATCTTCTGTCCAGGAGTGAAAATTCAGGATGGCGGGGAGGAGTTTTAAGTCCAGAAGATTGCAAACCGGTGATTGACATCGATTTCCGATGGATTTTATTTGAAAAAACACACCGGGGATTCCCAAAAAAAGAACACGCAAAACCCCATCTCATCAATCACTCCCTCCGATATTACAAAATCTCAATTTCCGCGGTGGAAAATTGTTTTTCCCAGCGTCTAATGGACGAAAGAACGCCCCAGCTATTGACCGTTCCATCAATAATTCACGATTCTCCGTGTCGTATTTAATAACAATCAGTCGAGTAAAATTTCCTTGCAGTTAAATCGCTCGAATCGAGCTGTGGATTAGCATCTGAATTGCACCCAGTGTTTGGACAAGGCCACGAGCCAGAACTCGTGCATCATAATAACCACCAGACAAGTGCCCAGAAGTGTTCGGATAATGTGACTTCAAATGACACTCGTTCATGTAAAGATAATATCACTTATTATCGAAATTCTCGTGATCGTGGGACAATTGTTTGTCTTTCAATGGAGCAGTTGAAGAAACATCTGTTATCGTTGCTTGACAATATTTTTCGATATCTCCACCGAGAGTTTTCTCGTATTTTTTTTTTGTTATTCCAGTGTTGGAACAACGGAAAACTCGAGCTGAAAGAACAAAAGACTCTGACAAAACAGAATTTATCGAATGATCAGATAATCATAAAGGAATTAATTGTTTTTCGAGTGGATTAAAGAAATTCGGGATTCGGATGGAAAATTATAACGAATTAATTTTCAGGGAATGAAGATTTCAAGGCTTTTTTTTTCACCTGGAAATTCTCATGGAAGACAATTTTTTTAATTTGCCCTGTGCTTTTGTGCTAGACGAGGTCAAGGCGCCCATTCTGCCTATTCAATGTGGATAAACCATCTTGCCAAGTCTCTGAGCACCTCGAGTTCTCCAGTATCCACACATTTCCACATTGAATCTCAAATTCCAGGAGTAGTCACGTACAGACGAATAGATTTCCACTGAACAGATGTCCTGGCGGTACTGGAGAGCAGTCAAAAATTGTGGGGTGGTGATAGAGAAAAAAAGAAGCTCAAGTGGTAGAGACAAAGGACTTGAAGAAAATGAGAGATACGATTGACTGCAGGGAGAGAATGATTCAATAAACTGGTGGTAGAGACAAAGGGGAACTGATCGATCTTCTCGAGGAATTGCTGGGAGCTGGCAATTACCCTGGAATTTCCACTGGAATACCCGAGTTTAGGGCTCGTCCCAACATTTTCTGGGGTGAAAAAGGACTGACTTGAAGGCCAAGAGTTACCGCTTTCTGATATCCTCGAGGCGAGTAAACTCAAGAAAGTTGTAACTATGGAATTCCGCAAGGACTTTGGGAATGTACATATTGAGTAAACCCTTTTTAAATTAAAGGAATCCACTCGGCGCTGGTTTTCGAGTAGATTAAACGACGAGAGAGTATCATTACTCGAGGTGAGATTTGACTTATAATTATTCATCCGAATTATTTTCACTGGTGAATAAATGCATTAACAGATTAATTCGCGAGGGTGAAATATGTGGGGCAAAACTATTTCACCCGCATGATTTATCTGCCCCACAAAATACCTAAACTCAATGACTTGAGATATTACATATGTTAATTCATAATAAATCGTTAATGATAATTAACAAATGGTCTAAATCATTTCCTCAAACTATTTACTGGAGATGTAAATAAATCGGTGGGTCAAGTAATTTTGAACCACAGATTTGATCCACACTTGTAGATTAAATGTAATGAATTACTCACGAACGAGTATGTTCCCCAGTAATGTGGCAGGTAGACAGAAAACGAGCACCAGTACATCAGCAACAGCGAGATTGACGATGAAGAAATTGGTAACGGTGCGCATACGGGGTGAGCGATAAACAACAGCAATAACAAAACTGTTGCCAACAAGACCAACAACAAATACAATGAAATAAGCAGCGCAGTATACAGCTGTCATAGCAATACTGTGTCTGTAGAATAAATCGGGCACATGCTCAACGGGTATGTGTCCAGGTTCACTCGCGTTGAATAGAACACCAGGATGCTCGTCCATTGGATGACGTGGACCGTCAGTCACTAGATCCGTAAGTGAATTGTTAACGTAATCGCGAATATCGTCTTTGGTCTTGGTGAATACATCGTTGGCAACACGGAGAGGTGGTCCTATCGTTGTTAAACCGCTGTTGCCATTTCGTCTACGCGGCTCGTTGTCAAATTCCTCAGAGTCCGGGAGTCGGAGTGACGCCATCTCCAGGAGGGGCGACGGGGGCTGCAACATCGGGTGATACTTCGAGGAGAATTCCACCAGCAGTGTGTCAACCATTTAGAATATTTATCACTTGTTGTCTCCTGGATTATATTCAATTGTTACTCGTCATGGACGTGTGGGATCTCTTCGCTTTTCCCGCCGATTTCACCACGCACGCGCCCACCTGAGGACTTCACCTGCGCCCCAGGGGATACACCTGACTTTCACGTGGGTAACCGCGTGCTCGGGGATGACAACTCGAAATTAACAATCATTAATTCACTTGTTGTTGTTTTATCGCGACTACGAGGGGGAAGATTATTTACGAATCGTGGGGTTGCGGTCGCGAAATTAATTCGGTGGTGGTCAGGCGGAATTCAAGTGATTATGTGTTGATTTTTTTTCTTTTTTCAGAAGCCCGGGATCTTTTTTTGGTTAAATTTCGCGCTGCAAGCGAGGGCAGAGCTAATGAGTCCGCTTTAGTTGACGACCGCAGACTGAAGTGGTGAGATGCGCCCGTAGCAGCGACGAGCTGTCTAGAAGCTCCAGCAAAACTGCGCAAGCGTCAGGGGCTTGTATTTGTCCGCGCCGATTTTTTTTATTTAAATTGCATGCAGGAAAAGTGACTGGTTGCAAGGGAGGAGAAAGAGGGAGAGTAATTTTCCTGGAAGAAAATCAGGGAGAGGAAATGGCGAGGGGAGCCAGAGAAACGAAGAGAGTGTTCGACACCTTTTTGACAAGTTCGGTATAAA